AGTGTTCAATCATCTTCTACCTTCAGATTATGAAAGGCAGGCAAGCCAATCTAAATCCTCGGGTTTAAGAAGATTGAACAGGGGCATCTGTTGTAGCCCAAAATTTTCCCTCCCATTTTACCCAAGACATGCTGAGGTCCTCAATTGCTCAAGGTTGACCAAGAATTGGCCAGACAAATTCTCCTCCTAAGCAATGAACTTCCAACTAGGGTTTTACTTCTCACAAAGAATTTTGGGTTGCAAAGGCTTCAAGTGATTTTCGTGGTCCCTAAAATGTCCTCAAGAATGTCCATGCTAAGTTTCATGCCTTGCACTACAAGCTTGCTCAGTCAATTACTCAAATGCTTCGAAATCAACTATACTAGGTCAAAAGTCAACTATGACCAATATACAGTCAAAATTCAATATTTTTGGTCAACATCAACATTTTGAAGTGATATCCATCATTTGATCAAGGGTTGATCATGATTCCCCAAGGAATGCTCTCAAATCATCAAGAATCCAAAAGTGCAAAATTAGGGTTTCCTAGAGAAAGTCAACTGAACTTTGACCAGGCATAACTTTCACATGTTTTATCCATTTTGCCCCAACCAAAGCTCATTATGAATAAAATTACATTCCCTACGACTTTTATTTTGTCCTCAAGTTTAAGAAATGCATCATTTGGAAGATATAAGCTCATACATTATAGGTCACTTTTAGAAAGTCAACAATGACACTTTTTTCCAAGACCATTTACATCAAGATAATTTCTCCTAATGCAAAAATGGTCAACATAGAGGTTATAGGGGACATCATGATCTTTCTAAAAAGCCCAAGATCATCTCTAAAAGATAAAAATTGAGCAAGTTATAGCTTGCATAAGTTGGGCAATTTTTTAGAAAGTGCATGAAGTGCAAATTGAGAAATATTGAACTTGTGGACTAATGGGCCTAGGTTTTAAGGTTTGAATGTGTTTACAACATGATTAAGAAACCATAAACCCATCCATGCATTATTTTAATTTTAATTTCATTTATTTTTTATTTTATTCATTTAAACTCAAATTAAATCAAATAAAATGCAAGATTAATGCACAAGGCATGTAAGGCTTAAGATTTGAATTTCTTAGGGCCCAAGTAGCTCATAGAAAGCTGTCAAAATTGTGACAACCAAGCAAATATAATTAAGACAAGATTTTCACAAGTTTGGAAAGTTTTTCAAATGAATTTTGGAAATAAATCATGCAATTGATGCCATGAGATTTCTTCCATTATTTTTTACCTAAATTTCTCCTCTATATAAACACAACACCCTCATACACTAGAGACCACGGAATTGGCTTCCCAAGAACACTCTCTAAAAATCTCAAATTTTGTCAAAACTAAGGCAAAGTCAAAACCAAAGATCCAGCCACTTTCAGTCCAAGCCATCAATTACAAATCACTCCTGAGGTATCTAATGGTAAGAATAGGTCGAAAGTCATGGCCATTGATGCTTGAAACAAGCATACTCATCTTCTCCGATTTTCTTTTCTTTCAAACATTCATATAATTAATTTCATGCATTGCTAATGTTTATTAACTGCCCAAATGAGTTCTTGTTGTTACGTAGAACAGGTTTGAATCACAAACAATAGCTTGGCTTGGTGGATGAGGTGCCTGATTGTGACCCAAGAAGCATGGGTTCAACACCCACCCCATGCATTTTTCACTTTTTTTAACTATTTTCTTTTCTAACCCTTTTCATTTATTTATTTTTCACTTAATTTGTTTTCTATCATTAATTTAATTAACATATAAAATCACAAAAAAAAATTATTAAATATTATTTTTAGGCTTTTAATTAATTAAATTAAATTTTGACATAAAAATTGTTTTGATTTAATCAATATTGATTTTATTTCATAATTAACTTGTAAATTAATTAGAGTTAGGTTTTTAATTATTAATTCACACATTTATTATTTTCCAAACAAAAAATACCAAAAATATATTTTCTAACACTTAAAATCTTAGGTTTTAATTATTTTCTTAACATTTTTCTTATTTTTATTTCTATTCATTTGCTATTTATATTTATTAGACAAATTGTATGGGTCGCATAATAATTGTAATAGCCGTAGTTTAAATTCTCGCAGTTTCATTATTTATGTAACTACACCAAAACCTTGTAATAGCGTAGGAACTTTATTTCTCGCCTTTATATTTCTTGTAAACTTGTATATATTTAATTGCTAGTGATTAGGCATGTATGGTAAGATTTAAAAAGAAACAGTAGAAAACCCTAATTTTACGATAAATATAACTGAATTGAACACACTTCTCACACTTGCACCTCTAGGGTAACCTCTCTCATTGCCTCGGAAAACAATGGTCATTTTCCTCGAACGCAGGGATACCATTAGTAAAGACCCTCAGTATAAATCATCATATAAGATCATAGTCCCTCGATGTCTCACGAAGTTGCCTATGGTATATGATCTTGTCCTTCAATGTTTCCTACGAATATATGATGACGTCCCTTCAAATTTCTAAAGGTATCCCTACATGTTGCCTTCAATGACCATAACGACGACCCTACGCATGTCCCTCAAACATCCAATGATAGAGCTACCTACTAACTAATGGTAGGATAACACTATCTAAAGGAAGAGAAAAATAACGCGAAAGAGTTTTTAGTAAGGGTGGAATACTGTTAATCGCTTGCTCACACAAAAGAAAACATTATTTCACAAACACTTTTCTGAAATATCTTTCAAAACAAAACGTTTTGTATACATTTTCAACTTATACGAGAATCATTACAAAATTGCCGTACTTAGGCATTTTCAAAGTATTTTCAAGCAAACACACACAAAGCATTTCAAAAGTGAGCAAGCGATTAAGAGCCCGTAGGTAACTACGGATGAAAAGGGTGCTAACACCTTCCCTTTTCATAATCTACCCCCCGTACTCAGAAAATTCTCAAAGGTCTTTCCTGTTCTTTTCAATCTTTCCTTTATAGGATAAAAGAAAAGTCGGTGACGACTCTTGCTAACCGCAACATTTGCGATAAAAACGCAAAACCAGTAAAATCAGTTCTCCCACCGTATTACAAATCCCCTTTCATTCAATTTAAAGGGCGCATTGAACTGTAATTGTGAAAAGGTTGGAAGATCTGGCCAAAAAATGTGGTTGCACTGTAGATTCGTTCCCATGGTTCGATCCTTCCCAATGGTTCGATCCTTCCCAAAAAAATGCGGCGTGTTCGAATTCTGATCGCTTTTACGCGAGAAAGGGGAGCACCCTCTAAGCCTAAGTATTCCTCAATGATCGACAACATGCAAGTACTATGAGGAAAAGGTTAATGAGCTCTCTCGCTTGAATTTATCGGTATATAATTTCTTGTTAGATCGGATTGAGAGTGACTTCTTCCCTTCCGTTGTCTATGTTTTCAAACATTTCATCAGTGTCCATATTTTCTTCATCTCAGTCAGTGTAGGTTTGCTCCGCACACAAAGGCTACATCTGGCCCTTTCATTGATTTGACTTTCCATTCAATTTTGAAGCCATTCCTTCTCTTCGGGAACGTTGTTTAAATCTATTTCGGTTGCCAATGAAATGGAATATGGGGAACTCTCTGTCTAAGTGGTTAATCCAACGAGTCAATTCTCAATGTTATACTGCTATTTGTTCGATGATCTTACTTCTGATGTCACTCCCGCCTCTCCCGCCTAGTGGAATATCCCAACTATTCTCTATCCAATTCCAGAAGAATGGATTATGAAAGATTTTTTCTTAAGATGTCGGTAAGGAACATCCAATTATAAAAACGGATGGCAAGGAATGAAAGCACTCTTTTGATAGCAAAATATAGAAATTTTTTAGAGCTTGGGGTAGGCCATATATTCTCTATGAATTGGATGTTGAATTGTAAAAAAAAAAATGTGAGGAAGACGCTTCTTCAATTAGGTGTCTCATGGCAGGGGTTGTGCACAATCAAAGAGGGGTGTCTTGTTTCCAGCTTGATGACTTCACTATTACCTTCCCCACCAAATCTTCCTTCACTCCATATAAGCGAAGGTATAAGAGAAGCCCTAAAACTACGCTTGAAGCTTCTTTCAGATCGAATCCAGTCACCGCTATGCCACATCAATCCGTTATGACTCGATCCTCTTCCTTAGCAACTACGGATTCTCCTGGCAGCCATATTAGGAATTACATCAGTACATTAGTTAGACGAGTAGAAGCGTATGTACCCCGATTTGCATCAAGTTTTCTCTGTCGAGCATGGAGAAAGCTCCAAGGATTGACCCGCTCTACTATCCTAATTCATCGCCATTGGGGCGAAAGAAGAGTGTGATAGAAGCATATCAGTTTTAGCCTAAGAATCAGCCTATAAAAAAAACAAAAAAGGTAAGTATGTATGCGGCCCGCCAATGTTTGACTTTCTTTGAAGGCTGATTTTCGAACAGAATGATTTTGACCTCGAAAGTCTTTAGATTTCGACTTGCCAACCTAGACCTATTCTAATAGATTAAGCCTAGATTCCCCCACTCCTAAAAAAAAATTGTAAATCACAATTTTGTTCGACACAACAATAATAAGAATGGTGTATCTATTGTCTTAGTAAGGTTTTAAGTCTTCCGTCCTTGTCCTTGTCCTTCTCTTTTTCTTAGTCAGTTTTATTTTTATTTGTTTTTTATTTTGTTAAACCGTGCAGTATCATTTATTAATACCAAATTCTCTTTTTCTTAGTCAGTTTTATTTTTATTTGTTTTTTATTTTGTTAAACCGTGCAGTATCATTTATTAATACCAAATGAGTCATGTTCCTTTTTCTCTAGTTAATTTTTATTTTTGTTTGTTTTTTATTTTGTTAAACCGTGCAGTAACATTTATTAATACCAAAGGCGCTTTCTTTATTCAAACAAAAATAAGTAAACCGACAGCAATTAAAAGAAGATATAAAAAAACTAATGAAGGAACTTTTTATTTAACGAATGATATCTACAATAACATAGTTTTCACATATATATACTCAACTTTCTTTTCTTTTTCTACGTTTTTGTTGTGATGAAGAACCAAACGTGGAATCATCTAGACCAAAACATTTAAGAAATGCTAGTGTGGCTACTTGAAAAAAATTGCAAGGGTGGGAACTCAGTGTTGACTCCTCCTCCTCCAAAAGCTCTTCACTTGTAATGCTTGAACACGTTTCTATCTCGCCTTCAATACTTAGGTTCTGCCCACCCTGCTAAAACACACAATGTATATCATTAGATTTCCTACCTCAAATTATAACATGGACAATATTTTAATGGATAACTTATTTGATAAATGTCTATTTATTTAGTATTGAAAGAAGATTTTTCGTATGATATTTCACATAAAAATGTTATATAATCAAGTGATTGAGTTGAGGTGATTAATAAATATCAGTAGAATAGTAGTTTGGATAAATTTACTTTTCTCTCGGACCAAACTCAAAATTATCATAGTCTCATTCATACTTATGTAAACCAGGGGATTTAAAAATCGATTTTCAAGTTGAAATAAACTAGAAATGCTTCTAGTGTTTGTAAAAATTAATCCAAACATGCAGTAAAACTAATTCAAAGAAGTCCTACATCGTGGATTTTTTCATCTCCAAATATTCTTTTTGAAATACATTACAAATAAATTATTTAATATTTTTGAAATAATTTAATAAATAAGTAAATCTTAAACACTTTACTTATGTTTAATGGTAATATTTCTAATTATCCTTCATTTAATTTTAATTTTTATAATGTATTAATTACTAACCGTATTAGTTATTAGTTATTGAAGAAAGATGATTTAGACAATGTATTAATTATTAAAGACGATAAATAAAATCTAAAAGGAAAAAGAAAAAGATGATATATAAAATTGTGCAAATTATATAAGGAATAAACTTATGAGTCCTACCATAAAATTATGAGAAAGAGTGATTGAACAGAGACTAAGAAAAGATAATCTAGTAACAGAGAATAAAATTGGTTTTATGCATGAAAGATTGACAATGGAAGTTATCTATATACTACGACGTGTGATGGAGCAGTGTCGGATGGATCAACAAGATTTGCACTTGATTTTTATGGACTTGAAAAAGACATATGTTAGAGTCCTAGAGAAGAAAAAGTTATAATTACATATATTCAAGCTATTTAAGATATGTATGCAGGAGTGTCGACTAGCGTGCATGAAGGGGTGTCGACTAGCGTGCATACACAAGGTGGAGAGACAGACGACTTCCCTATTACAATAGATTTGCATCAAGGTTCAATCCCAAGCTCCTACCTTTTTATTGAGAACAACAAGTGAGTTGGAAACTTTGAGAAATAGAGTGTGGGAAAGTCTCATATTGATTAGAAAAGTGAAGACTTGAACATTAACAAGTGAAAGAATCCACACACTTGTCACCTTAAGATTTTGAGTGAGTATGCGATATGTCTCTCACAAAGATGTGTTGCTAAAAAAAAAAAGTCCTAATTGTAAAACGCCTCATCGTGTTGACCCCTCAAATAGCCTCAACAGCGGTATCAGAATCTGGTTCGAGTGAAGAGACCGACTCACTTAATTCGAAAGTACCCCCATATGGTGGTGGGTAGAAGATGTTCTGTTGAAAAGTGTCAACGACGGTACAAGTATATGTGGTTGAAAGAGCTTTTACTTGAGAGAAAGCATTGTGGATAGACTCACACTCGAGGGAAAGTGTTGAGAATATAAGTGTGAGTTGAAAACCTTGAGAAACAAAATGTGAAATTTTCCACATTGGTAGAAAAATGGAGCCTTGAGCATTTATAAATGAGAAAACTCACACACCTATCACCTTACAATTTTGGATGGATATGTAGTATGTCTCTCACAAAAGTGTGTTACTCTAAAGGAAAAGGCTCAATTGTGAAATGCTTCCTCGTGTTGACCGCCCGAATAGTCCCAACACTTTTTACCTTAATTTTGGGTATATGTCACAGAACACACTCAAGAGCTAGCATTGAGATGTGTGTTTTTTTGCATATGATATAGTCCTACTTATAGAGTTGAAAGAGAATTTAAATGAGAGATTTGAGACTTGGAGACGGCCTTTAGAAACACATGATTTTCGCCTAAGTATAAGTAAAAAGGATTATATGGTATGTAAGTTCAACAAAAGAAGAATGGTTTATAAACCTAAAGGTGAAAGTTAGAGACCATATCATCCCTCAAGTCACACGGTTTAATACCTTAGATCTGTAATACAAAATGATAGAGAAATAGAAAGGGATGTAAATTGTCAAATTCAAGTTGGGTGGCTGAACTGGAGAAGGGTTTCATGAGTTCTATGTGACACAAAGATACCGCTCAAGATGAAGAGAAAATTTTATTTGACTACAATAAGACCTCTGATGTTGTAGGAGAAACATGTTGGACGCTTAAGAATCAACACGATAATAAAACAGATGTAGCAGAGACGAGGATGTTATGTTGGATGTGAGGTAAAACTATAAAGGATAGGATTAGAAATGAAAATATTAGAGAATATGATGGAAAAACATATGTGGTCTAAGCATATAGAGAGAAGATTTGTAGATTATGTGGTAAGGAGAGTATAACAGATATAGAAAAGTCAAACAATTAAAGAAAGAAGAAGACCTAGAAGACTATAAGAAAAGTTATTAAGAAAGATCTTGAAATTAACAATTTAGATAAAAACATAATTATAGATAAAATATTATGGCGAAAATTAATTTATAGTCGATTTCACTTAGTGGGACAAGACTTAGTTCTTTTTGATGATTTAGACAATATATGCCCTAAATTTCTTAATATATTTAATTTGATAATCTTTTTCTTACAATTTGAAAATAATTAGAGAAAAATTTTGAATTTTTATTTTACAATTAGATCAATGGAATGAAAAAGCTACATTGAGTGCCAAACAGCTAAGAGAAGAATATTTGGAAAAGCAAACAATTGCGGATACTTTCAATTTCTTAACTTCTTAAAATGAAAGGATTGATGAGAGAGTAGGAAATGAAGAGAGAGTTGGAAATTAGAATCTCACCCTTCTTTTTATTATTGGAAATATTTTCTCAACAAAACACCAATTTCATATTTGCCTAAAATAAGCAAATACCATGGTTAGGATAAGAGGGCCAGTGTCGTGACTCCATATACATTTCCTAATTCAGACACCACCGCATTATAAAATCCAATAAATAATTATTGGATGCATAATTATCATAATTTTATTTATTCTCTCCACATAGTGTTGCTGGTTAATAAATAATATTTTTAAAACTGAAAAAAAAAACTATGTTTATCCAAATACTTGAATTCGTTCGAGTAGAGGTGGAATTAAAATTAACATTCAAAAAATAGAAATAGTGAAGTTAATGAGAAATAAAAAGTAGGTGGAATTAAAACTAACCTTGAGCGTAATATCGCGATGTTGACCGTTAGTTGAAACAGGGGTAATTGAGTCATTATCCGCTGTTAACAGTGGTTTCTCAACCCGTTGAATCTCCTCGAAACGGAAGCTTTTAGCCGAGACGGAGGAAGTTTCCGGCGAGATGGAGGCGGTGGCGCCGTCATCGTCAGAGATTGTGAAACAATAGAAGATCGCAAACAGGAGAAAGAGAACAATTAGTTGAATCCAAATCAGCCACGGAATTTGATAGCTCTCTACAGAGAGCTTGTTAAACATGTTAATTAATTTCTCAACATAAGATTTGGCTTTCAATTTGATGAATGAATACACAAAACTATGAACAGAGGGAACAAAAAGAGTGTCAAGGTTTTTGGGAGAGAAGAAGAAGTAGGAGAAGTTTTGGTGTGGGGTGAAGGGAAAGAAACGTTAAGGTTGAGAATAAGGGAAATGAATGAATAGAATGAGTATAAACTAGAGTAGTTGAAATGACACGTAGGAAATTACACGCGTCACGCGACGCGTGGTTGGCAATTTGCAATGCTTTAAACCTTTTTAATAACAAGAAAGAAAATGATGGGTAGCTGGATATAAGTATGCTTCACATGCAGTTAGTTGAGGTCGAAATCGGTGTGCGTGACGTGACGGTAACATGGAAACTGCCTTTTTAATTTTTGGGTTGGGTGAAGAAAGGTTAAAGATTTTAGGTTAATTTCTTGTATCAACAAGTTGTGCATAGGTTAGTGTTGTTGACAAATATTATAATCCACGACTTATATATTATTATTATTATTATTATTATTATTATTATTATTATTATTATTATTATTATTATTATTATTATTATTATTATTATTATTATTATTATTATTATTATTATTATTATTATTGTCACATTTCATGTTTTAAATTTTGGATCGATGTTTTTAATAATTTAGGGTTAAATAAATTGTTGCTCCCTCCAAATATTTTAAATTTCATTTTCAGTTTCTCAAAAAAATTTCTTCAAAAATTGGTCCCTTTAAAAAATTCCGTCTGAATAATTGATCACTAACGTCAAGTTCCACTAACTGCTTCTTATGTGGCAAGACAAGTGGATTAAATAATTTGTTTTATTTTTTGATTGGAATTTATTACATAAGTAAGTGGCATATCTCATGTTTCAAAATCACATTCCTTCCACTTGTCTTATTACATAAGAGGCCATTAATGGAATTTGACGTTGAGGATCAATTATTCAGACGGAAAATTTTAAATGGACCAATTCTTGAAGGAAATTTTTTGAGGAACTAAAAATGAAATTTGAGATATTTAGAGGGACTAAAAACTTATTTAACCCGATAATCTATTGATTGAGTCGTTAGTTACTTGATCGAATCAGTGGGTCACACTGATCGGGCCTCATAACATAACTGTTAATTTGGTTTATGCAATTTAAAAATAAAAATATTTATGAAATAAAATTTTGACATAAATTTCATAACTATAAAATCTTTAAAAAAATTATAAAGTTATTAATGCAAATAAAGTTGATAATAATCTATACTTTTCTAATTTTGCTCATCTTAATATATTGTGTTTACTAACTAAAAAGATGATTTTCTTGGAGTTTTATAGAAAAATGGGTCCAAATAAGACTGAACAAGGATGCAGAAAAATAATAAATCTAGCACAAGATTCAAAAATCACCAAGGAGACTCAGTGACGAAAGTCAAACCAATTTACACTTTATGACACTTGATTGGAGAAACTTGGCACGAATATTTTCATATTAAATCCAAGTTAAACTTGTGCTACAAGGCAATCAAATCTCAGCATTGGTGATGAACGCTCAAAATTTAGAAAGATATAATTAACCAATCAATTGGGACCATTAGTCAGTCAATTAGTGTAACACCCGTTAATTTAATTAATTATTTAATTAAATTAATTATGGATTAATGGTTGAGAATGTTGTTGAAATTGTCGAAGTTGTGAAATTATTGTTGAAATATCGATTTAAGTTTTCGCGTTCTTAGTTGAATTATTGAGTTGATTAAGAGGTGGAAAATAGTATTATAACAATACTATTATTATTATTTCTTATGGGCTTAATTTAAAGTATTGTTGGTAGTAAAATGTGTGGTGTGAATATTAGGCTCAATAGAATTAATAATAGAATTTATATGTTGAGATGAATAAAAGAAATTAATTTTTTATAAGAAAAAGAAGAATAAGGGTTTTAGAGAAAGAGAAAAGAAAATGATGCAATACATGGAGAAAAGAAGAAGAATAAAGCTTTAGAGCTATGGCAGCAGCGGGTTGCAATCAGAATTATAGAGAGACCGTCAATCCAAGATAAGGGAAGGGTTCTTGCTCTATAACTGGGAAATATGATAAATGATATGTGAGGTTGGTTATATGAAATTATCGTGTGTGATTTTGTGTGAAAGGTTGTTATTTTGTTGCTACGGCAATGTTGTGTTTCCTGATAAAGTTGCAGAAATTCAATTGATGACTCTGTGGTTGAAGAATTAACTTATGTTGATGTTGGTGTATTTGTGGTATTATTATAATTATATGTTGTGTTGGTTGGATTTGTTAAATTGTAATTCATATGTGTCAAAATTAGATTTGATTTAGTTTTAGATTTAAATAGATTTGAATTTAAGTCTAGAATAGATTTGATTAGATTTGATTTAGTAAAAAGATATTTTGGGCTTGGGTTTTAGCTTAGGGAGCAAGCTAACCTAAATTTATAAATAGAGGGAGTAACCCCTATTTTGTAATTAAGTCATTCACAATATTTTGCAGTTGCAAAGTGAATAATAAAATTTCCACAGTTTGTGGGCAGAGAGAAATTCTGCAGAAATATCTTTATTGTCTTTTTTTTATTTGTCTCATAACTAATCATCAGTGGTGGTCGAAATTCATCATAGTATTAGGTGGATTTCCAACATCTAGTATCAGAGCTTGTGTTTCGATTCAAGGGAAGTGTCAATCAAGAACGATTGAAGAATTCACGATGACAAGTTATGGGAATGCAAACTATCCAGCAACGCTGCCAATTCTGAAAGTTGACAACTATGAGAATTGGTGCAAACAGATGAAAGTCCTATTAAGGTGTCAAGGCCTTTGGGACCTTGTAAAAGATGGAGTCGAAGCGCTTGGAGAAAACGCTTCAGAAGAAGAAAAGAAGAAATATACATAATCTGAGAAGCAGAGTTATAAAGCATTATTTATAATTCATCAATGTGTCAGCCCAGACAATTTCGAAAAGATTAGTGATTCAGAATTTGCAAAAGAAGCTTGGGAGATCCTTGAGAAGTCTTTTGGAGGCGCTGAGAAGGTGAAAGAAGTGAGGTTACAAACTCACAAAAGGACCTATGAACTACTTCAGATGGAAGACAGTGAAAACATATCTGATTTCTTCACTAGAGTTACAAAACTAGTGAATCAAATCAAGGCATGTGGAGAAACATTAACAACAAGAGCTGTTGTTTCGAAGATCTTGAGATCTTTAGCTCCTAAGTTCAACCACATAGTGGTGGCGATCGAAGAGGGGAAAGACTTGTCGAAATTGACAAAGGAAGAGCTTCAAGGGATGCTCGAATCTCATGAACAAAGAATGAACGAAAGAGCTGCAGGAAAATCGAAGAGTGATGTGGCCTTACAAGCACATTCAGCAAAAGAGACCAAAGGCAAAGGAAAGTATTTCAACAGAAGTAGAGGTGGCTACAACAAATCGAATGGTAGAGGAAACCAAATCGAAGGAGACGTGTCAAATTAAAGAAGACCACACCAAGGCAACCAAAGAGGTGGTGCTGCAAACAGTGGAAGAGGTGGTGGTCGAAAACCTGATAAAAGTCACATTCAATGTTACAATTGTCAGAAATATGGACATTATTCGAGTGATTGTCCAGAAAAACGAAAGAATCAAGAAAGTGATGCAAAGCTTGCAAAACATGAAGAAGAAGAAGAGATGATGCTGATGGTCACAACAAAAGATTAAGATAGATTCAAGGACCAATGGTACTTGGATTCAGGATGTTCATCACATATGTCTGGAAGGAAAAACTGGTTCGTCAATATAAAACCCTCAACGAAAAATATGGTAAAATTTGCAAATGACAACACCCTAGCAGCTAAAGGTATTGGTGATGTTATGATCATGAGGAAAGATGGTAAGAAGTCAGTAATTTTGAATGTATTGTACATACCAGGCATGAAGAGCAATTTGCTCAGTATAGGGCAGTTGGTCGAAAAGAATTATAAAGTGTCAATCGAAGATAAGTTGATGAGAGTTGTTGATGCAAATGGGAGAGTAATCTTGAAGGCTCCTATGTCTCAGAATCGAATCTTCAAGATTGAACTAGATGTGATAGAGCACAAGTGCCTTTCGAATGCAACTAGCAGAGATGAATGGATATGGCATTATAGACTAGGTCATCTCAACTTCAGAGACATCAGAGATTTGAAGAGAAGAAATATGGTTTCAGGATTGCCTGAAATTGACATTCCAAACGAAGTATGTGAAGAATGTGTGCAGGAGAAGCAACACAAGAATAGCTTCAGCAAGGATGCAGGAAGCAGATCAAAGGCTAGTCTTGAATTCATATACTCTGATGTATGTGGACCAATCCAGGTGGATTCGATGGGAGGTAACAAATACTTTGTTACATTCATAGATGATTTCAGTCGAAAGTTATGGACATACCTGATCAAGAAGAAAAGTGAAGTGATCAAAGTATTTACCAGGTTTAAGTCTATGGTCGAAAGACAAAGTGGTCGAAAGCTCAAAGTTTTGAGAACTGATGGTGGTGGAGAATATGTGTCGAAAGACTTCGACAGATTATGTGAAAAGGAAGGGGTTGTGCATGAGGTGGTGCCACCCTATACTCCACAGCAAAATGGAATTGCGGAAAGGAAAAATCGAACCATCGTGAATATAGTGAGAAGTATGTTGAAAGGCAAGAATTTACCTAAAGAGTTCTGGGGTGAAGATGTTTCAACTGCAACATACATTTTGAACAGATGTCCTACAAAGAAGCTAGAAGGAATTACTCCAGAAGAATGTTGGTCGGGTGTGAAGCCTAGCTTAAGCCATCTGAAGGTATTTGGATCTATTGCACATAGACATGTGCCAGATCAGTTGAGAAGAAAACTTGATGACAAGTTAAGTCAAATGATCCTAGTTGGATATCATTCGACAGGAGGCTACAAGTTGTTCGATCCAGAGAACAAGAAGATTGTGATCAACAGGGACGTGATCATAGATGAGTTTAAAGAATGGGATTGGA